CCAAATGTGGCAGGGGAGGGGAGGCGAAGATGTGTAGCAGCACTAGAAGTCCCAGAAGAGGGGAGGAGTCCAAGATCCCATCTCACATACACAGTCATACACTGACACAGTCACACACTCCCTCCCTTATGCTCACACAGACACATACAACCTAAGACTTACAAAAATGAGCGCTACTGCGCTAGACACCCACTCATGCTCCCCATACACACCCTATTCACTCTGGTCCCGGTATTGCTGCACAAGGGGTACACCATCACCGGTTCCCAGGCACTTCACAAAGTAAACATTCCAATACAGGTCAGTTCATTAAGGCAATCAGTAAAAAAGTTTCCTATATAAGGAACCCAGCAGATTGCATCAAGTCACTGACTAGTATCAGAGTCTTTACAGCAGTCCTCATAGCATGCAGCGACAGTAGAGAGGAAAACTCCCTTTTAACAGGAAGAAACTTCCAGAGGATCCTGGCTAATCAACTCTTTGTTTTAATTTTGCTCATAGAAGTTACGTTTTCTCCAGTGAATAACTGCAGGTTTATGCAGTTTGGAAGCCTGTCTTCATCATGTGTTAATAAATGACCCACATCTCAGGTCATCTGCGTTAACGTGCTATTAACACAGATAGGCCTCTACTGTTGTATATTTAACTCAGGATGTTTTTCTACCCAGCACCAGCCTCCTCAAACCCAAACCAGGCCTGTTTAACTGATGTTACCCTATCTTCTTTACAAGCACATCTCCATCCACCTCCTGCAGAAACAGTTGCTGTGTTCAAAGTTCACAGAAAAGGGAATCCGTGCTGCAAACCCCGCAATGAATCTGCAATAATCAGATTTTTTTTTTTACTTCCACAAAATGCACGTTCTGGATTACAGATTACTGAAAAGGGACGCCTTAAAAAGCCACTGCTCAACAGTCATTTTTTAAGTCTTGCCATCCAAATGACGGCGGGGAGGTTCGCTGGCTGATACTATGTACATGCACATGCACAGTGGGTATTATTTTACTCCAACAATCTGAACGGATGTGTACATGGACGTCAATCGGTATGATGACTGGACAAAACCACCCCATCAATCGGAATTAAATTAAATTCCTTTCGGGCAAATCGGATCAGAATATTCCGACTGACATGTTTACACAAAGAATTTTTGATCTGATAGGGCATTCATTCTGATTACGTGTACCCATGTAAACATAGCTAGTGTAGCACACTCTTCTGCTTATAAGTCTGCTCTACATTTGAATTTGAATCAGCTACAGAAGCCATCGCTATTGGCTGAGCTGGTATTATCTACGGTAGCCAGTGTTTCTGACGGCTATGCTCTGCACTAGAGCTGAGTCTCGGCCACGCCTCTGGCTGCCTTGGTCACTCATGAACCGATACAAAACGATACGACTCAGAGCTGCTTGTCCCTTTAAAAAGAAAAGTCCTTCTCTCTTCTTTCTAGTGAACAAGGTAGAAAATCCCACAGCATGCTGCGGTTTCTCTGCTTGCTCCTCCGACTGAGCGGTGTGTCTGTGTGTGTGTGTGTGCAAGTGCTTATTAACTGCTCGCTTCTCTGATGGAGACATTCCAAGAGCACATGGGATGTGAGGAATGAGCGGGAACGCTGTCAGTCACTGCCTCAGCACCTCTCTCTTGGTCTGCCAGATGACACCTCCTTTAGTAGCATTTTTCAAACAGGAAGTGTGGGTGGAGTAAGACTCTGATCGGGGGCACTATAGTGTGCCATATGCAAAAATACATTAAATGTGTGAATGTCTTACAGATGCACCGAAAGAGAAGTGAGAGTAATTGAAAACATTTGGTTTGCATGGTGGTGCAGTCGGAGGTTCAGTTCTTGCTGCAGCCTTTCTGTGTGCAGTTAGATGCATGGTTGTCTCCCACAGACCAAAACATGTTAGGTTAATTGTAGACTATATTGTTCCGAGGGGTGAGTGGTTAAAAACATTTAAAAAATAAACACCCGTTTATTAGATTGTGACCATATAAGGGTTTTGAGTTTTTGGTGCCAGATGAAGTCTGCTAATGAGGGATTTCACTGAGCTGGAAAGCACACATCTGTGTGTGTGTCTTCCAAAAGGAGAACAGCCAATCAGGTCATCCACCTCCTGTTTAAACAGATTTAGTATTCAGAGCCGTGTTTGTGTGAGTGTGTGTGTGAATTTTATGTGTTTTGTTTAAAACCTTCAGGAAGCTGCTGCTTTAAGAATCACAGCAAGACGCTCTGGAACATTTCCATCGTGTTTCTGTGATCACATTCATCTGTTTGCACAGCAATATTATCATATTTTATTTTAACCAAATAAAAATATAAAAGCACCAGAAACACCTGAGAATTGCGTTCTTCAGCTGATGACTCAATCTGAATCAAACCCACAAGATCCTCCTCCTGTTGTCTGACCTTTGACCTTTTTCTCGGCAGCTGAAATGTAATTTTTCATAAATCTGTTCCTGTCGTGTGGCTTTGACTCCGAACAGACTAAAACACCCTCTACTTGTTTTAAAGTGACAGCTGAGCCGAGCTGTTGAAAGTTGTCAAAGTCAAATTTTCATTTGAAGTTTTTAGTGAGCAGGAAGTCAGAGTGGCTTCCTCTGATTTGTCACAATGATCCTTTAAAATTAAACCGAGTAGCTTTTCTGTTTTAAACAAGAGAGTCAAACCTTAAATCAACACAGGAACTGAAAAGCAAACTGATCTTCAATTAGGAAGACAGAAGAGTGAAAGTGGGACAAACCATCATGAAATGAGACAAAAACTGGACTCATGGGAAAAAGTCAGGTCCTAATTAACCCCGATAATTAAGACTATATTCTACTCCAATGCACCCCCACACCGGAGTTTGACTTCAAAGAGCAGTTGAACTAAAAATAATAATAAAATAGGAAAGCGCAGCTCTTAAACTGCTGTTTTTCATCAAACAAGCATTTAACTGAAATTCTGTAACAGGTTTTTAGTTTTAGTGATGCCCCAAATATCAGCAGTCACCCCAAGTGTTTTCAGTCTAAACCTGCAGGAGCCCAAACAGCTGATCCAGACTGGCTTCAAACGGGATTCAAACCTGCAACCTTCTCACTTCAAGGCATAAAACAGAGAATAACAAAAATTAGAGTAAAAATACAAGTAAACAAAACACAAAAATACTTAAAAATAAAAAATGATACTCAAATGTTCCAAAAGCTGAATATGCACGCTTTTCAGATGTAAAATTAAAGAATTATGAAAATCATTGTGTGCACGTACAACAACATAAAATGTGCAAATACAATAATCATCATGTGCACATACAACAAAAATTGTGCAAATTACAAAAACGAAGGAATGCTAAAAAGGTTACGTAATTGTGGGTATTTGCAAACAGTCGAGGGTCCTGACATCCAGGAGTTTAGGAGGTAGAGCAGGTTATCCAGTAATTAGAAGGTTGCAGGTTCAATCCCGGCTTCTGCCAGAGAACACTGCGGTTCTGTCCTTGAGCAAGACACTTAACCCTCCTTGCCTGCTGGTGGTAGTTGGAGGGGCCGGTGGAGCCAGTCTCGCTTCCGTCAGTGCAGGGCATCTGTGGCTTCATTGTGTCTCATCACCACCAGTGTGTGAATGAGTGGTTGTGTTGTGAAGCACCCTGGAGGGTTGGACAGCCTTAAGGAGGCACTAAATAAAAAAAGGTCATTTACCATCTAATGTGCTGTCAGCTGTCTGTTCATTCACCAAAGAGCGCTGTTTAAACCCCCTTAACTTTCCCAGTCATGGTTCTTATTCCTCACTGCAAACATGAAAACTATACCCGACTAACATATATATTAGATATATTATATTGGTTTCATTATTCTCACTTTAACTTGGTAAATATTCTTTTTTTTTTCAACATTTCTTAGAGTGTGGCATGCTGGGAAATCTGTTCCATCCCATCATAAACACTAGTACTTTTGTTCACTTCCATAGTTATCAACTGGAAATGCCGGTTGTGTGTTTAGCAGCTATTCTAGCTTCGGTAATGGTTGCAACAATGTGGGCGGGACAGAAAGGAGTCGGAAAACAAATAACCAGTGCTAAGCCAGGCTCTGTTACTGAACCAGCCCTTTAAAGGTGCTTACACGCTCCTGTCGGCACGGCCCCAAAAGGTACCGAACGGCACCAGAATTCGGTTTCACACACAGGTCAGATTTGCGTTTTCGGTGCCGAGGCGACTCTTTTTCTCAGACCTTCTCCCCAGCGGTCAGACTGGGACCAAGGCGACACTACGGACTGATTGGCCGGCTGAAATTACGCCTATCGCCTCCGATCTGCGAGAAGAATGAGCCAGCGGGGGGGGGGGGGTTCCCGCATGTGCGATTCATTTTCATGCTGGATGCTGTGTTGAGTAAACTTCCGTCTGTAGCGCGGAGCTGCCGTTGTGTGTGTGTGTGTGTGAGCCCGCGCCTGTTCTCCGCATCAGAGCTCTTGCCCTAGCGAGCAGACAGCTGCTCAGGGGAGAAAGCGGTGTGTGTGGCACAAGATTATGAGGACACTCACGGCAAATTAATAAAATAATGTGGTTCAGAGCCTCCAAAAGCAACACAGCTCATGTCCGCCTTTGGAGCGGGCTTTCCTGCGCGTATTAAGCACCGCCCACAGACTCAGGGAGTTCCGCATTCCGGAGAAGTCACCACTCGTTCCAGACCGAACTCACGCCATCCAGCCCGACCAAACCACATTGGCCAGGTGAGTAGGAGGGGCTTTGAGCCAGGTGAATACAGCTTCACATCCTGGGTGTTCCAACTCTGGTTCCTGAAACAGACCATGGCTGCTTCATCTCTCAGCTTCATGTTTGGGTTGGTTAGAGGTAGAGCCTTTTCCTTTCATTATCTGAAAAGAAAAGGCTCTACCCAACCCAAAAGAGGGTAGAACCACTAATGTAGACAAACTTTTTTTCTAATTCTACAAAGTAATAGAAATATTCCACAGCCCCCCCCCCCCCACACACACACACACACATGCACACTTTAAAAAATGAAGGTGCTTGCAAGTTAAAAACCTTTTATTCTAACAGGTTCATCAGGACAGTTACAGAATTTCATTACATTTATGACACATTTAGCAAAAGTTGCAGATATTTTTTTAAAGAAAAATATCAAAAAACAATTTCATTCAGAAAAACAGGACTGATGGATCAGATGACAACACGAAGGCTTCCTGTTCCAACTTTCTTCCTCAGCACCTCCACCAGACGCTCCAACCTGGAACCAGAGAGCGTTCAACACTAGGGTTAAACAACCAGAGACAGATTACATCTGCTGACATCTGTCCTCCCCCACTCAGAAGTCCACATGTACGTATGAATTAAAACTTTTATTCTGAAAAATAAAAATCAAAAAGCTGAATTAGGGAAATTTCAGCTAAATATCAAAACAAAAACATATTAGTAAAGTAGTGAAAAACTGTTAATGTTAATATACGGAACTTTAGATATATCCGTACGTCATTAACAGACACGGCAGCGATTACATTCCTGCATTCTATGATACTGGCTCATATTGAATATTGTATTACCAGTTGGTCCTATACGAGCTCGGCTGCTATTGGGCCAATTGAAGTATGCTACAAAAGAGCATTGAAAATATTAGATAAAAAACCTCTCTCATATCACCACTGTCAAATTTTAGATAAATACAAGTTTTTAAATTTTACTAATTTTAAATTATTTAAATCAGCCTGTTTAATATATAAAGTTATACATGGTCTGGCGCCACCACCAATGAGTGATTTTATTAAACAAAAGTCTAGCAGTGTTGTCGGGTCTCGACTGACTCGAGCCACTGCTAGAGGTGACTGTGAACTGACATTCAGGCGGACTACCTTTTCAGACTGCTCTGTCATACCAGGGAGTGACCTTCTGGAATAGTCTTCCACTATCTGTGAGGGAAAGTACCAGTCTAAACATCTTTAAGAGTCGCTTAAAACAGCGGCTGAGGGACACACAAACATGTGATCATGTCTAATACTTATATTTTTTATTTGTCCGGGAAAAGATTTGGTACAGTATTAAAAGGGAAACAACTGCTAGTGTAATGGGTGAATGTAATCTCACGACAGGGCATATGCAGTATCGGGGTTTGTGCAATACAATTGATGTGTTTCCGTTATTGCTGTCTATGTTGTTCTCTGTGTCCACTTTCTTTGACATTTGTTTGTGTTTGTATAATGGGATGACTGTTTTTGTCTCTGTCACATGACTTGTAAATATTATCTCTGTATGTTTACACTACTTTGTGTCTAACATCAACCTGCCGGAGGGTCTGCAGATGGAAATTAGCCCAAGGCTATGATCTGGCATATTTACATTTATTGAAATGTTCATTAATATGTATTGCCCCTCTTCCTAAATAAATAAATAAATAAATAAATAAAACAATCAATAATAACAATCCCAAACAATAATAACAAGAGTGCTGGAGCGGGTCTGTTTCTGGTGTCTGTGGAGAGGAGCAGGAGGGTCAGATAGGTCGGGTTCAGGTTCTGACAGAACCAGCAGCTGAAATGGTTATAAAATATCTGGAGTTTTCAGAAAAATATGAAGAACTTGAGAAGATCCAGGTAAAGTGAAAAGAGAGAAAGGTGACACGAGGTAGTGTGTGTGTGTGTGTGTGTGTGTGTGTGTGTGAGAGAGAGATCGGTGGATGACCTCTTTCTGCCTTTCCAATTCAAATTAAACTTCCCATCTGTAATAAGCAGCAGATTTAAGTCAGTCCCTCCCATCAGAGAGCAAACATTTCTCCTCACGGCCCAGAAACTTGGAAGGCGACCCCCCCCCCCCCAACTCCCATCCTCCATCCCCGCTGGCAGCCAAATTATAGAAGAAAGCCCCAGGTCTGAGCCCAGGAGGACAGCACGGGATGCAGACGGAAGACTTAAGCTGTTTTCATCATGAATCTCATCTCTTCATCTTCATGCTGATGAGACGAGAAACAGGGAAGATTTTCAGAATCGGACCTTTGTGCTTTGAGTAAAAAGTCTGAAGGCTTAGTTCTTCTGGATCATCTGGGCTGTGGAGATGCTCACTGATCTCTAAATCTTCTTCATCTCATGTGCTAATGGGTCTGTGAAGACCTGGAGAGTCCCTAGTTGCTGCTGTTTAATAGTCCTGAGTTTGGTCAGGTTCACACACCAGTCATGCATTCACCTGGCCTAGAAATCTAGACGGACAGTCGCAGAAGCAAAGTGAATTTGCTCTGCATGTTGGTCAAGCCACACACCCACAGCAAGTCTACCAATGGCCTGAGCAGTTTTGTGATAAGCCAATCACAGCGCTCTATTTGTCTGATGGGCGGGATGAGGTGATGGAGCGGAACAAGATGGTGATGGCTAGTTTGACACACACACACACACACACACACACACACACACACACACACACACACACACACACACACACACACACACACACACACACACACACACACACACACACACAGCATGAATTTTGGACTATTTAGACTTGGGCTTTTCTTTCACTCAAGAGCAGATAGTCCCACTAGTCGTCACACACACTGATGTGTGTGCGAAATATGTTCTCTGCATTTGACCCATCCCCTGGGGGAGCCACAGACACAGCCGCGCTCGGGAACTATTTGGTGGTTTAACCGCCCAACCCAACCCCTTAAAGCTGAGAGTCATGCAGGAAGGCATTGGGTCCCATTTTTTTTAAGGTCTTGGTATGACCTGACCGGGATTTGAACCCTGATCTCCCAGTCCCAGGGCGGGCACTCTACAATGGCGTATGGCGGATTGACATCCGTAATAGTGAGTTTGTCATGTTGTTCGTTGTCCATTGGCGTGAGGAGACAGTTTGAAAGACAACCGTAGACTCCGGCCCACGATGGAGATCTGTCTATGAGTCGTGGCGTACTCACATTTATGGGATGGTTTGCCAGGGTAGCATATATTGTTAAAATGTGAAAACAAACAGGTGAGTTAAAAAAAATCACCTGATCAGAGTGCTGCTCTTGTCACTCTGTGACCTTTGACCCCAGCTCATTTGTCCTAGGGCCCCAGACTGATCACCATGGTTCAACCACAAAAGCATTAGGAGCAGATACCCACTTCCTTTAATTAGAAGCCGCCATATTCTCTAAATCAGAAGCAACACGGAGAGAAATGACCTGAAACACCACTGGTTCCCTCCAGGTTGGGAGTGAGCCTCTGTCTCAAGTGGAGGAGTTCTGGGGTCTTGTTCCTGAGCAATGGTAAGGCGGAGTAAAGCTGGACAGATCAGTAGTGATGAGTGATGAAGAAGGAGCTGGTTGGTCCGTCTTTGCTCCAACCCTTCACTGGTCATGAGAACCAGAACTAAAAGAAAGAGATTCTGGATCCAAGTGATCTTCCTGTGTAGGGTGGCTGGGCTCAGCCTTAGATAAGGAGATGAGCTCCATCATCAAGAGGGAGCTGCTGCTCCTCGTGGAAAGGAGTCAGCTGAGGGGGTTCTGATTATGCTGCCTCCTAGTCGGAGAAAAACTACAAAGATGGCGTCTGCTCAGGAATGGCACTAGTCTGAAACAGCTTTGGACTATTTAGACTTTGCTCCTTGGACTGCTTCCTTGACTGATTTCTGTAGCTATGAATATGTCGTGATGTTCATTGCTCTGATTGGTCGTAGCGCTGTCCAGCTGTTTGCAGACTAGGGAGCTGCTGCTCCTCGTAGAAAAGAGTCAGCTGAGGGGGTTCTGATTAGGCTGCCTGCTGGTCCTCCCCTTTGGCACATGATGGAACTACACTCACAGGTGACTACGTACTAACCCTAGGAACAAGTGTCCAGAGTTCAATTCTTCTTCTGAAAATAATTTATTATTAGGAGGCAACATAGTAAAGATGGCCGATGGAGGAGCCAAAAAAGGGAGAAAATTCCTCAGATCCGTTTAACTAAAACATTCTAAGGCAAAAAAAGTAAAATCATAAAGCGTTTTAAGAACTGGACTCTTTCTTTCACAAAGAGCTGATGATGCAGGGTGTGTGTTAACTGAGTGGATCTGGTTTTAAGTCTAGCAGCTTTTCCACGTGCTCTTTTAAACATCTGGAGAATCTGACGTGAAAAGCTGTTATGACCTCTCTACCATCCCAAAGCACTCACAGGCAGCCCAGTCTTTTAGCTGCAAGTGTGTGTGTGTGTGTGTGTGTGTGTACGTGTGACATGATCATGTCTGACTCTGTTTGGGGACTCCAGCCAAACCAGACTTGGTTAAAAACCCAAAAGCTGCCCCCTTACTCCGTCAGAGGGTCTCTTTTGGGTCACCCTTGCTTGTCCAGAACCCAGATAAAGCAATAACACAGAAAATGTGGCGTACAAGTCACACAAATCATAAATTCATCATTCCGAGGACTTTTCTGGTACAGCATAGAGGCTCTAACACACATTAGAGCCTAAAATCAATCTGCAGCTTCCTGTTTAATTGTTCCTGTTAATCTGAGGGGATTATAATCACCCTGTGATCCAGCCATGGGCACATGTGGTCTCATGAGTCAGTAGGACTCTGTCCCTTCTTCAGGATGAAACAGAGTAAAGGACTAATCTAGTCACATGAAACTAAATACTGCAGAACTACATCCTGTTAGGTGAGTTAAAACCTGACCTGCGGACTTTCTCGCTGGCTTCTTGCTCCGCCTCTTGTTTGCGTTGAAGTTTCTCCTCAATGCTCTGCTTCTCCCTGGAAACCTGCTGCAGCTGGACCAGGAGAGTCTGGACCTGAAGGCTTGGAGTCTTCTGAGATGCAGAGCACTCCAGTGGAGAATCAGGATTAGAAGGCAGCAGGGACTGGAAGGATGCAGCAAAGCTCTGGGAGCTGAGAGGTGGAGGAGGGAGGAGAAAAAAGACCAGAACATTTTAGGTTTTGTTGTTTCTTTTCATTTTTTAAATGTGGACAGAAAATAGAAATGATTGAATGGATTTGGGTTCTTCTGTTTTAGTTTGTAAATGAGAAGTTACAGCGAGTCAATCTCTCTAAGACCAATAGCATGTCAAGGTAACAGGTAGAACCGGTTTGAGTCTAATCTGCCAGATCTTTAGCAGGTTAACGCGTTCCACTGAATCTGGTGTCCACAGCCTAGAGGTTCTGTTGTTAGCTGTGTGAAGGTCTGCTGCAGCTCACTGACCTGTGATGGACCTGAAGCGCCTGCAGCTCAGCCTCCAGCTGTCGTTTGTCCTCCAGAGCTGCATCTCTCTCCCTCCGCAGCATCAGCAGCTCCTCCTGATCAGAAACACTCATCAGTCTCAGGCTGAAGTCTGGATCCGAATCAAGACAGCAGTGGGAATAAACGCTTCACTGATTGTCAAAAGTTTAAAAATCAAACTTATTTCATTTATTCTTCATTCACACACGCACACGCACACACACACACACACACACACACACACACACACACAATAGATGGCTATCAAAGGTCACACTATGGAAGTTGCTTAAACTTATAACAAACGGGCCTAACTTAGAGTCTTCTTTTTAAAAAGTGTGTAATAAATCAAACACAAACAAAAATTCCAGCTTTTAAGTTTCAATGACTTAAAAAAACTTGATTAAAAAAGTTTAAATTTGTTGAAAACAATTAAAAAGAAGATAGCTGATTGATTAATGACAGAAGCATTTTCAGATTTTTCCTAAACTCAAGGACGGCGTGTGTTTTCATCTCCACATCTAGCTCATTTTAAACCTGTGGTGCTTTACTCACACTGATAAAGCTTGCACACTTTCACCTTTGTCTTTTTAAACAGAAATGACATTTTTGTTTTGTGTGCAGGGAGAAAATTTGTGTTAAGACAGTTTAAAGTTGCATTTATTGACAACCTGGTACATTACTGAGACAACCTGGAGATAATTATCATCTAAAAGCCTGGGGAGACTGAACTGATGAAAAAGTGGTTTAGTAGGAGAATTATAATGAGGCCACGATAAAGTGCAAATCACTTTCTTTTGAAGGGTTATTAGATTTGTTAGGCAGGGAGTGTGTTACACTATATAAGTGTACAATACACTAGATAAGGTTCAAACTATGCTTAATAAAGTGGAAGAAATGCAGAGATTGAAAGAAGGTGTTGCAGTTTAACAAATAAAGATGAATATTTGGATTCTTTTTTGTGAAATCATCAATGTGGCATTTAAAATGAGTGAATTCATTAATGATAATCCCCAGAAACGTCATGGACTTTCCCTAGTAACGATCTGTGTTTATTTTAAGACAAATTTGCTCACGAAAAACAATAAAATTTCTCTTTTGATATTGAGAAGAAGATCAGAACCAGATATCTGTTTTACGAAGCTCATCACTCATGATATTCACAAGTTCCTTTGTGTTTGTATGTGCAAAAAAATAAATAAAAAAATATGTGTTTTTCTGCCAATATGGGGTGCTGCGTGTACATTAATGAGAAAAAATGAATTTAATTGATTTTAGCAAATGGCTGCAAAATAACAAAGAGTGATAAACTAACGAGGGTCTGAATACTTTCTGTACCCACTGTAAAACAGAGCCCTGCGGGACACTGTAACTGATTTCTTTACATGATGATTTGCAATCATAAACAAAAACAAACTGCAATCTTCCAAACAAACGGATCTTAAACCAGTCTAGGCATCTTTTAACTTTTCAATAAGAATATAAATTTATGATGTGGAATGATTAAGATCATTCTAAAAATAAGTCATTACCGTAGTTACCAGTATCTGTTGCATTACTACTTTTTTCTATTAAATCCAACAAGAAAGAGGTCATCAGTGGATCCTGGTACATCTTTTTAACTATTAGATTCCAACAAATGATCAATATGGGTCTCATTTCTGTGGTACCTTGTCATCATCTCCAAGATCTTGGAAAAGGTTGTGGCTAGACAACTCACAGCTGCTCTTGATGAACATAACATCTATGATAGCTTCCAGTCAGGTTTTCGTAGAGCTCATTCTACTGAAACAGCTCTTCTTAGGGTCTGTAATGACCTTCTGACTCACAGTGATGCAGGGGAATGTTCTGTTCTGGTCCTGCTGGACCTGACTGCAGCCTTTGACACTGTTGACCATCACCTGCTACTGGAGAGGCTGAGAGACTGGGTAGGCCTATCAGGATCTGCTCTGGAGTGGTTCTCCTCTTATCTGTCTGAGTGGTCCTTCTCTGTGGCCGTCTCCAAGTTTAGGTCCTCCACCTCCTCTCTTACCCATGGTGTCCCACAAGGTTCTGTGCTGGGGCCTCTATCTGCTTCCTCTTCAGCACATCTTGAGCTCCTTTCTCCAACCACCTTTATCTTAGTCTCTATCAAAACCTGGATGGCTGGGAACTTTCTTCAGCTGAATGAAGATAAGACTGAGATCCTCATCTGTGCCCCAGACAAGCTGGTTCCCAAAGTCAGAGACTCTCTTGGTCAGCTTGCTTCTCACACCAAACCTTCTGTCAGGAATCTTGGCGTGACCTTTGACCCAGCTCTCACCCTGGATTCTCATGTCAGTTCTCTTGTTCGCTCTTCCTTCTTCCATCTCAGGAACATTGCTAAGCTGAGTCCCATTCTGTCCCGCTCTGAACTTGAGACAGTTCTCCACACCTTCATCTCCTCACGCTTAGACTACTCTAACTCTCTTTTCACGTGTCTGAGCAGAACCTCCCTGAACCGTCTACAGGTGGTTCAGAACACCTGTGCTCGGCTTCTGACCAAGTCCTCCAAACACACCCACATCACCCCGCTTCTCCTCCAGCTTCACTGGCTGCCAGTCAACTTCAGGGTTCATTTCAAGACCCTGGTTCTGGTTCTATAGGGCCTTACATGGACAAGCACCATCTTACATTGGTGATCTTCTTAGCCCCTACACCCCCAGCAGGTCCCTGAGGTCCAGTGATCAAAGCCTACTGGTTGTGTAGCACCAGGCTAAAGACCAAAGATCATTTGCTGCTGTGGCCCCCAGACTCTGGAACTCTCTCCCCTTGAGCCTGAGATCAGTGGACTCAGTGATCTCCTTTTAAAAAACATTTTTAAAAATCTTTTTTACTTTTAAAATTTTCGTTCTTGTGAAGAACCTCATGATATACAAAAATGTTTTCTTTCTTTCTTAAAAACAGTTTCAAAGTTACTGTGATTGTTCCACAGATACGTTCTAACACGAGTTCCACACCTATCTACCCATTTAAATTAACTAAAGTGTTTCGTTTCTTATGGGACTGATTCATTCAAATCCCTTGGGTGTTCTTCTTAAGTGACCCTAAAAGCAGATCCTTTAGTCTGTTGACACGAGATTTAGTGGAACGTTTTAACCTGCTAAAGAATTGGTAGATTACAGACTCAAACCGGTTCCACCTGTTACCTTGACACGTTATTGGGTCCCCCAGACTCTGGACCTCTCTGCCCCTGAGGCTGACATCAGTGGACTCAGTGGTCTCTTTTAAAAAGCAGCTGAAAACTCACCTGTTCCGGCTTTGGTGTGACCTTTTGCTGATTCTTCGTCATTACTTTCTTTTGATGCAGCTGCTTCTACCAAATATTTCTTATTTGGAATCCCACAATTACTAATAATTAATTTTTCATTTTTTTCTTCACATTTTTTACACATAAAATTTCCTTTTTTTCCCCATTTCTGTTATGTTTTTCAATCATTTTTTCATTTTGCTCTTGTGAAGCACCTTGTGATTTATATCATGAGAGGCGCTATATGAAATCTCTTCTGCACAGATCTTAACAACAGTGTGTTGTGATTTCAAACTCATACACACTTTCTGTGTTGACCGAAATTCCAGACGCACGCACCCAAAATGAGCTTCCTCTGTAGGGAGGTAGACTCATGGATAGGAGCTTCGTCACCTGGGGGAGCTTGGAGTTGAACACCGCTTCTTTGCATCAAACGAAGTCAGCTGTGAGCGCTCAGGCATCTAATTAGGATGCCTCTAAGCAAATCCCACTGGGAGGAGACCCCAGAAAGATCTGGAAATTGGTGGAGGAATTATTGCCACTTACACACTAGCATTGGCTAAACTCCGCTCCGTTTGCACCACCCTGGCCACAGTTGTTTCCACATTGCCTTAGGAATGCAGACATGGTTGAGAACATGGCTGGTCTGTGGACTGTGATGTCATGAGCACATCTCCGAACACGTGGGCAGAACAAAAGAGTGCGGAGAAGTCCGCGGTGTCTCCATTATTAAACAAAAGTGGCCTGAGCAGTCTTGCTTTTGGAGACTCTGACTCTGATTTTGCATCCTGCTTTGCTGTGTGTGTGTGTGTGTGTGTGCCTCCTCACAGCAGTGAGAGACTGAGAAACACAGCTTCAGTCAGAGGCTCGTCTGAATACTCTACTGTGAATGCACGCCGGGACGTTGTCCATCACAGGGACGTTATTTTGGAGAGATACTACGGTGTCAACATCCTGCTGCCTTCCACCAATCAACGCGCCCCTCTTTTGCATTATTATGACATCCATCCAGCACAGCTTAAATACCGCGTATGCTCTCACGAGAAAACATGTCCTTTACAAAAAAGGGTCAGAAAAGCATTTTTTATTTATTTTTGCCAATACAAATTATTTGTATGGCTTATTAGACTATATAATATGATGTAGACATCCACGGTAGTAACAGGTGATGACTCCTTTAAATTATGTCAGCTGATTTTTTTTTTTGTTGGTTTAATTGATTTTGTCAACATTGGTTAGATTAAATGTGCTTTATCAAAATTAAGAAATTTAGACCCAGAAATAGAAGTAGATCAGACAAATCACACACACACACACACACACATGCACACACACACACACACACACACACACACACACACACACACACACACACACACACACACACGCACGCGCACACACACGAACACACACACAGCTCTCGCTAATATGAAAGGTTCTGTTGCGTCCTGGTTCTGCTGTACAAGTTGAACTAATCAAAGTGTTCTGGCAGGATCTGGAAGAGGATTGCAGGAAGACCGGAGGAGGGATTATGGACCCGACCCTGACCTGCTCATCTTCTTCCTTCTCTGTTCTAATTAAAATGCTGAAAGTGGGAGTTTAAAGTGAGACATCAAAAGAGGAACCAAACCCACAGAGCCAATGTGTGTCTTCTCCAACCGGGCCGGAGGACACGCTTCAAAAGAGCCGGCCGACTTATTAATTAAAATAATTTTTAAATGAGGTGATCAGCAGGCAGGATGACACTGAGCTGACCTTTAACATAAAGAGTGAAGGTCAACAAAGGAGGAGAGGAGATAATAACACCGC